ATAACAATAACCTACCGGTAGATATATAGATAGACACTCAAGCTGAACAGGAGTGGGAAGGCAAATGGGGCTACACACACTAATATATATAGGTTTGGCAAAGGATTTTTCTCCATATGTATTTCTTTGTGCTACAAATTCATTCATGAATATAATATACAGGGGGCAAAGTTTAGGGGCTCAGGACCATAGTCTTAGGAGACAGCAATGTCAACTGGTATAACACAGTCCACAAAGACAATGTTCTACATCTTTCATGAGTAGTGACTGGGGTCTTAAAAGCTTGTAAGAAGCCATATAAGGTGCAACTATTGGTGTCTCCCCCCTGCTCCCAGAGAAAATAATGAAGAAAATTAAAGACACATGGAAACAATTAGTCCAAAGGACTAAAGGACCATGTTAACCCCAGCCTCCACAACCCTGAGACCAGAAGAACTAGATGGCACCCAGCTACCTCTGCCAACTGCTCTGAAAGGGATCACAATAGGAGGTCCTGGATAGAGTGGAAGAAAAATATGCAACACAACTCAAAATGATAAAAAAAGGCCAGGCTTACTGGTCTGAGAGGGACTGGTGGAACCCCAAGGACTATGACCCTTAGACACCCTTCAGGCCTGGAACTGAACTCACCCATGTCTCAAGTTTCAGCCAAACAATAGATAGGCTTATGAGGTGAAAAGTAATACCAAGGAGGTACACACTTCCTAGAACAACCAACCCATATGAGATCAAAATGGCAGCATTTGCCTAGGGAAGGAAGGTTGGGCAATCCTACTTCCATAGTGATACTGCCTCGGAAACCCAAGGAGGGGGTCGCTATGAGTCGGTGCCGACTCGATGGCACATAACAACAACAACAACAACAAAGCTTACAAGGCAGGAAGAGATAAGAAAGAAGGATGAAAGGAAATGGTAAACACAGGGAGTAAGGGGTAAACACAGGGAGTAAGGGGGAGTGCTGTTACATTTGTGGGGATTGCAATTAATGTCATGAATCCAAACGTGGATGAACTGTTGAATGGAAAACCAATTTGCCCTGTAAACTTTCACCTAAATAACAAAAAAGTAAAAATAAAACAAAACAACAAAAAAGAAACAGGTATGACAAATCAAGAAGGAACTAACTTCACTTAAATCATTTATTTCTAACGTACAGGCCAAAGAATCATGGGGTGTGTGAATGGACATTCAGCATTGTTTGGAGTCTAAAACATTTTTTTCCCACATGTCCTACCATTTTTCAAATATGGACAGATACTAGTGTAATAGAATATGAAATTATTTTAAAATATCAGGTTTTTTTGGTCATTTAGTATAATCTCAATAAATAAATACTAGAATTATTATGTGTTAGAGGTGTAGGGTTCCTCTAACAAAAAAGGTCAGGAGCCTTTAATAAACTAAAAGTTTCTTCTGGCTCTAAAATTCTATTGTTTCAGGGTATTAAGGACTCCCATTGTAAATTCTTCCATAACTACTACATTTAAAATATTTATGTTGTTGTTGTTATGTGCCGTCGAGTCGGCCCCGACTCATAGCGACCCCTCCTTGGGTTTCCGAGGCAGTGTCACTACGGAAGTAGGATTGCCCAACCTTCCTTCCGAGGAGTGGCTGGTGGGTTTGAACCGCCAGTCGTCTGGTTAGCAGGCAAAGTGTCTTAGCCACTATGCTACCAGAGCTCCCAAAATATTTATAAACATGTAAATATAACTAAGTCTGCTATGTGCCAAGCAATCGGGAGCTGTGGTAGTGCAGTGCCTAAGGCAGTTGACTGCTAACCAGAAGGCTGGCGGTTCAAACCAACCAGCCACTCCTCGGAAGGAAGGTTGGGCAATCTACGTCGGGGCTGCTATGAGTAACTCCATGGCAAATAACAACAATAACATGTGCCAACTATTGGACTACATTTTGTTACAGCGATGAACAAGGCTTGACTCTAGTCTCAAACTCAAACACGCTGGAGAGACAGATACATACAGCCTACCAGAGCTCCTAATAAATACTGCAGAGCTACCACGTTTCAAGGGCTTTGGGAGCATAGTGGGTGTTGGGCAATCCTACTTCCGTAGTGATACTGCCTCGGAAACCCAAGGAGGGGTCGCTATGAGTCGGGGCGACTCGATGGCACATAACAACAACAACAAGGGAAGTCTGCGAAGATAAGCTATGAATTGGGTCTTAATAGGTAAAGCAGAGAAAGCCTTCTGGGCAGATGGAACAACAGCATGTACAAAGGCAAAGAGTTGTCCAAATGTGTGGCATATTTGGGGAAACAGCCTTAGACTGGTATAGTTAAGGAGAAGCTAGATGAAACTAAGCAGGTAAAATGGACTAAAAGGTCCTAAAAGATATGCTTAGCAATTAGGACTTGAGTCTGTTAACAATATGGTTATTGAAAGAGTTTACGCCAAGAAGTGATATAAAAAGATACGTAGTCCAGAATGTATTTCTATGAAAGGAGGACATAAGAAGGAAATAAAGATGATGGGGAACCAGTAAGGTGCCAACTGCAAGAATTCGGCTGAATGAAGACATCATATGAGTGAAAATGAAGTGTCAAGAATAGCTCTTAGGTTTCTGATTTGGACAGCAGGATGGATACTAACACCATCATTAGTTATGAGATAACAGAAGAAAGGTAGGAAGGCAACCAGGAAATCAGTAGTATCCCTTGGAGGGTAACTTCAAGAAAGAGGTAAGGTTATACATGAAGAGAAACAAGAAATAAAAAAGATACTTTCAAGAAAAAGGGAATGGTCATCCATATCAAATGCTGCAAAGAGGTAACTTGATAACTAAAATGGTTCTTCCCTTCAGCCCCCTACCCCGACCTCCTCCGGAAATGGTGATCTCCCAGGTGGATAAGGAAGGAAACAAGGTATGGAAGGGGTGTTCACAGGGTTAGGGCCAAGACCTCAGTTCCGACAAGAAGAATTCAGAGCTGCGGACAGAGAGAGGAAATTCGGCTTCTCGGAGTGGGAAGCCTGAGAAGGGAGGAAGCTAATGTCGGACGGCCGACAGTTCAGAGGTGCAAAGCCCCAGAGCAACCTAGGGGAAGAAAGCTTTCGACTGGACTACGCCCGCTCCCATCCCTGAATTTATTACACTTACTCTGGTCTCAATCGTCGCAACCGTCAGCTGTGTTAATTAAGGACTCAAAGCCTCTGTCAACAGAGACCTATAGGGAAGAGACCCCCAAACACCTTCTTCAGCAAGCAGATGCAGAACCGGAGAGAATTAGGGAGGCAGTGGCGGAGGTGACCGAGCCGAACCCCATCACTGACAGGAGAGAACCTCCACTGACCACCTACGACAACGCTCCGGGAGCACCCCGACCTCGCGATATTTCCTTCTGGCTACGTTGGGGTACAATTGAGGGATTTGTTTGCCGTTTCTCGTCAACTTGCGCGAGAGGTAGGGGCGGGTCCCTTCTACGTCCCTCCCTACTTATCCACTCCCAGGCTTTCACTCGGCCTCTCGTGCAGTCTCGCGTGGTTTTCCAAGGGAAGCCAGTCTGGGTGGAGAGAAGAAGAAGGGCAGATTGGGTGGGAGGACCCAGCGCTTAGCGCGCCGTGGCTGGTATTTTTCTGTTGGGAGGGGAGGGGTCTCAGGTCACCTAGATTGTTTTCTCAATGTGTGGCTGGGAGAATTAACAGGAAGAATACCTTGAAGGCTGGAGGCATTTTTTTTTTTTTCTCTGGCCCCGCCTTCTTCCTGTTCAGACCTGGGTATCTGGTCCACCGAGGGGAGAGGGAAGCTTGGCGGGGCTGTCGAAGAGCAAGCACTTCGCGCACGCGCGTGTTCGAGTGTGTGAGTGTTTTTGTGTTCATGCGCACGCGCGCGCTTCTGCTTTTAGGAAGCTTGGGATGGAGCAGTGTGCTAGGAGATGAGCGGGGAAAACATAGTTCGCTGTCTTTGGTACCAGACACTTCTGACTGTGCGCTGACCCTCCACACCCAGCCAGCAGCCTTTTCCAGAGAGGCTGTGGCCCATAGCCTCTGTTCGTTTTCACTGCAGGACCAGGCACGAAAGTAAGCGAACCTCGATCACGAGGTCTTCTCTATCCGCTCACCTTGTCCTTTCCGTCCCCCCACCTTCTCCAGCAAAGTGTATCTAGGTTTCTCAAGAGTTACGCATAAAAAGGAGATGCATTTAAAAGCTGGAAGTGAAAACAGCTGGATACTAAAAAGTCAGTTCGTTTTTGATGAACGTTTGCTTTGCTCACCGTGTGCTTTTCGTATGTGAATTGTCTGTTCTATATAAGATTTTATGGCAGGAGAATACCATGACTCTGGTTTTTAAGAAAAAGTTTTCAAAGTTCCTTCTTCCCTCCGTTGTGATGGTAGCAACGAACTTTTTCTATTCTACGTGATAACTTACTGTGGGGTTTCAAAAAAGTAAGTGAAGGGTGTGAATTTGGTCCTTATCTTAATATGAAAACTTGATGTGCAGTTATCTTAGGACAACTTTATTGTGTTTTGGACTTTTCTATTGCTGTCATTGTAACTTCCCCTCCCCCATCCTGTCTCAGAAGTCTTGAAACTTTAGCGGGAGAGAAGCCTCAAAATGCTAACTTGGTTTAGTTTCGGGGATTGTATGTGATTGATGTCAACTAGCAAAGGAACATCAAAAATGTATTTTGAAGAGTATTTGTCCTTTATTATGTCTGCTATTAGGTAAGATAATCAAATATGATTATATGTAAATTGTGTTTTTATGACAATTTAAAGTTTGTTCAAAAAGCAAAATTTATGGACTTTAATTTTGCCTGTGCCTAGTAGAGTGACAACCTAATATGGTATAGCTCATCACTGGAACTCATAGGGTTACCTTCTGGTCTTGATCTCATTGAATCTTGTTCTTTGTTGTATAGATTTCCAACAACATGTTCTCTACCAAATCTTGAGGAAAGACAGAGTAATTAGAAGTAATTTAAGGTATTGAGTGTTATGTATAAGACATTTAGTTAATATATTTTTCCCCTTACAGGTTAAAACAAAATGAGGATTTTTTCTGAATCTCATAAAACAGTGTTTGTTGTGGATCACTGCCCTTACATGGCTGAATCATGCAGACAACATGTCGAGTTTGATATGCTGGTGAAGAATAGGACCCAAGGAATCATCCCTTTGGCCCCTATATCTAAATCATTGTGGACTTGCTCAGTAGAATCTTCCATGGAATACTGTAGAATAATGTATGATATATTTCCTTTCAAAAAGCTGGTGAGTGTTTAAATCTGAAGTACAAGCAAAATCATGATTTTGGGAATATACTTGGCTGCCTAAATACATATTTTAAAAACATGACTTTGTTATAGATTTGACTTCTAAAATGTGGTATGTAGAACTGCCGCTTGGGGTAATATATTATGACTATTTAGTTGGGGCCAGTAACAATAATAACAGCTAACAGCTTTTGAGCACTTACATGTGCAGACAGGTCCCACAGTGCTTTGTATTTATTAACTTCTTTAATTCTTAAAATGGTCTATGAAGAACTGTAATTAGTGGGGCAGTATTAAAAATATTTAACAACCAGTGTGAAACAGGCACAGACTATTGAGAACTGTCAACAGCCCCAGCAGAAGGGATGTTATTGGCTGTAATCAGTTTTTCAGATTGTGCTGATATGTACCAGGTGAATATCGCCTTGCTTATTTCTCCCATGTTGGAGATGTAGAGACTGAGGCAAAGAAGAGAAATTTGACCTGAGTCACAAAGGTAGTTAAAGGCAGAGGCAGAATGTGAAGCCAGGAAGGCTAGGTTTTTTGCATTTTTAAGTATATACTAAATTGCTGCAAGATTTGACCATATTTGAAAAGCTCTTAATAATGCTAAGTGGAAATTGTTTTTATCAGTTAGAAGAGAAATTTAATGAAGGTCAATAGAAATCCTCAATATTGAAGTTATCTTCAGGTTTTAAGATCTCAAAAGTTTTAACTTGGAATAGTCATTTGGTTAACTACACAAGAATGATTTACTTTTTGTTTCATTTGGAGCAGCCTAGACTGGGGCTGAAGTCCCTAGGTGGCACAAGCTGTTAAGTCCTCAGTTATAGATGAAAAGTTGGTGGTTTGAACCCACCCAGAGACACCTTTGAAGACAGATCTACTTCTGAAAGGTGACAGTCTTGAATTCTATTCTGCACACATGGGGTTGCCATAAGTTGGAATTAACTGCAGCTGACAACAACAGGATGGGACCTTGCCAAGTCTTAGACCAGCGTAGGTAGGGTAGTTACAGTGAGGCTAAACATAAAGTCCAATCTTAACATATTCAGATTTACTCCACATTAAAATATAAGTTATTTTAGCCCCTCTTTGAAGGAGCCCTACTGCTCAGTGGTTAAGTGCTCAGTTGCTAACCAAAAGATCTGTGGTTTGAACCCACCAGCCTCTAGATGGGAGAAAGATATGGCAGTCTGCTTTTTATAAAGGTTACAGTCTTAGAAACCCCATGAGGCAGTTCTACTCTTTCCTGTAGAATCACAATGAGTCAGAATTGGCTTGATGGTAGCAAAGACAGGCAGATCTCTTTAGATTTTTGTGTATTTTATGTAGAGTAGCAATAGCAAGTAAAGTGAGAGGGAGGATAGATAATATGGTAACATAGGACACAAGCTTTGGTTTAAATCATGACTTCATCTGCTACCAATGGTATGATTTTGATCATATTATTTAATTTCTCAAACCTTCAGTTTCCTTCTGTGTAAGCAGAGCACCTACTTCCTATGATTGTTGTAAGATTTAAATGAAATGTGGTAAGTAAAGCAGATTGTAAAAGATATCTCTATCAGGTAAACTGCAGGAAAGGAAACCAATTCCCAACTTATTCCTTAACAAAAAAAAAAGCAAAACAAAACTCACTGCCGTCAAGTTGTTTCCAACTCATAGTGACCCCTCCTTGTGTTTTCAAGGCAGTATCTCTTTGGAAGTAGATTGCTCAATCTTCCTTCCAAGGAGGGGCTGGTGGGTTTGAACCTCCAGCCTGCTGGTTGGCAGTCAAATGCCTTAGATACTATGTCACCGGAGCTCCCACTTAGGAAAGGAAAATTAGTATTTGATGGATATTAGGAAAAAAAGACCACCACTTCTTGGTCAGTTTGTCATACTGTGGTGACTTGCATGTTGCTGTGAGGCTGGGGCTATGCCAGTGGTATTTCAAATACCAGCAGGGTTACCCATGGTGGACAGGTTTCAGTGGGGCTTCTAGATTAAGACAGAAGAGGGACAGGCTAGTGAAAACCTTATGAATAGCAGTGAAACACTGTCTTATGTGTTACTGGAAAACTTTACTAATAGCTCTGAAACATTGTCTGATACTGTGCTGGAAGATGATCCCCTCAGGGTGGAGGCACTCAAAGTATGACTGGGGAAGAGCTACCTCCTCAAAGTAAAGTCGACCTTAATGATGTGGATGGAGTAAAGCTTTTGGGACCTCCATTTGCTGATGTTGCATGACTCAAAATGAGAAGAAACAGCTGCAAACATCCATTAATAATTGGTGCATGGAATGTACGAAGTATGAATCTAGGAAAATTGGAAGTTGTCAAAGTTGTCAAAAATGAAATGGCATGTGTAAAGATCAATATCCTAGGCATTAGTGAGCTGAAATGGACTGGTTTTGGCCATTTTGAATCAGACAACTGCCTCATTTACTATGCGGGGAATGACAGATTGAAGAGGTATAGTGTCCATTCATTGTCACAATGAATGTTTCAAGATCTATCCTGAAGTACAATGCTGTCAGCGATAGGATAATATGTATATGCTTACAAGGAAGACAAGTTAATAGTTGTTGTTGTTGTTTGCTGTCGGGTCGGCCCCGACTCATAGCGACCCCTCCTTGGGTTTCCGAGGCAGTATCACTATGGAAGTAGGATTGCCCAACCTTCCTTCCGAGGAGTGGCTGGTGGGTTTGAACCTCCAGCCTTCTGGTGAGCAGTCAAGTGCCTTAGGCACTATGCTACCAGAGCTCCTTAATAGTAGTAGTAGCCAAATTTATGCACCAACCACCAAAGCCAAAGATGAGGTAATTGAAAGTTTTTATCAGCTTTAGTCTGAAACATGCAGTCAAGATGTGTTGATTACTACTGGTGATTGGAGTGCAAAAGTTGGAAACAAAGAATCATCAGTACTTGGAAAATACAGCCTAGGTGATAGAAATGACGCTGGAGATCACATGATAGAATTTTGCAGGACCAACAACTTACTCTTTGCAAATACCTTTTTTCAACAACATGTACGGTGGCTATACACGTGGACTTCACTAGATTGAATACACAGGAATCACAATGACTGCATATGTGGACAGAGGCGATAGAGAAGCTCAATATCTACAGCCAAAACAAGGCCAGGAGCTGACTGTGGAACAGACCATCAACTGCTCATATGCAAGTTCAAGTTGAAGCTGAAGACAAAACAAGTCCATGAGAGCCAAAATATGACCTTGATTATATCACACCTGAATTTAGAGACCATCTGAAGAATAGATTATACTCATTGAACACCAGTGACAGGAAACCAGATAAATTGTGGGATGACATCAAGAACATTATACCTGAAGAAAGCAAAAGGTCTTTAAAAAGATAAGAGGACCAAAAATGGATGTCAGAAGAGACTCAGACTTGCTCTTTAATGGAAAATAGCTAAAGCAAATGGAAGAAACGACAAGATAAGAGAGCTGAACAGAAGAATTCAAAGAAAAGCAAGAGAAGACAAAGTCAGTTATTATAATGAAATGTGCAAAGACCTGGAGTTAGAAAACCAAAAGGGAAGAACATGCTTGGCATGTCTCAAGCTGAAAGAACTGAAGAAAATAATTCAAGCCTCCAGTTGCAATATAGAATGATTCTATGGACAAAATATTGAATGATGCAGGAAGCATTAGAATTAAAATGGAAGGAATACAGAGAGTCACTGTAGTAAAAGAATTGGTCGATGTTCAAGTATTTCAGGAGGTGGCGTATAATCAATAACTAATGGTATTGAAGGAAGAAGTCGAAGCTGTACTGAAGGAAATGGCGAAAAACAAGGCTTCAGGAATTGACGGAATACCCACTGAGATGATTCATCAAACGTGTTCTGTGCTGGAGGCACTTACTCATCTATGCCAAGAGATTTGGAAGACAGCCATGTGGCCCCCTGATTGGAAGAGATCCATATTTGTACCCATTCGAAAGAAAGGTGATCACACACAATGTGGAAATTATTGTACAATATCATTAATATCACACACAAGTAAAATTTTGCTGAAGATAATTAAAAAACAGTTGCAGCAGTATATTGGTGGGGAGCTTCCAGAACTGCAAGCTGGAGTCAGAAGAGGATGTGGAACGAGGAATATCATTGCTGATGTCAGATGGATCTTGGCTCAAAGCAAAGAATACCAGAAAGATGTTTACTTGTGTTTTATTGACTATGCAAAAGCATTGGATTGTGTGGATCATAGCAAATTATGGATAACATTGAGAAGAGTGGGAATTCCAGAACACTTCATTGTACTCATTAGGAACCTGTACATAGGCCAGGAGGCTGTCGTTAGAACAGAGCAAGGGGATACTGCGTTGTTTAAAATCAGGAAAGGTGTGCGTCAGGGTTCTATCCTTTTGCTGTGTTTATTCATTCTGCATACTGAGCAAATAATCCAAGAAGCTGGACTATGTAAAGAACACACATCAGGATTGGAGGAAGACTTGCGATATGCAGGTGATACAACCTTTCTTGCTGAAAGTGAAGATGACTTGAAGCATTTACTGATGAAAATTAAAGACTGCAGTTTGCAGTATGGATTACACTTCAGCATAAAACGAAAATCCTGACAACTGAACCAATAAGCAGCATCACGGTAAGTGCAGAAAAGATTGAAGTTCTCAAAGATTTCGTATTACTTGATTCCATAGTCAATATCAATGGAAGCAGCAGTCAAGAAATCAGACAATGTATTGTACCAGGCAAATCTGCTGCAAAAGGTCTCTATAAAGTGCTGAAGAGCAAAGATGTCTCTTTGAAGACTAAAGTGCGCCTAACCCAAGTCATAGTATTTTCAGTCGCCTCATATACTTGTGAAAACTGGACAATGAATAGGGAAGACTGAAAAAGGTGATGCTTTTGAATTGTGGTGTTGGTGAAGAATACTGAAAGTACCATGGACTGCCAGAACTAGCAAATGTGTCCTGGAGGAAGTGCAGCTGGAATGCTCCGTGGAAGCGAGAATGACCAGATTTTGTCTCACCTACTTTGGTCATGTTGTCAGAAGGAGCCGTTCCCTGGAGAAGGATATCATGCTTGGTAAAGTGGAAGGTCAGCAAAAAAGAGGAAGACTCTCAATGAGATGGATTGACACAGTGGCTGCAGTGATGGGCTCAGATATAGCAAGGATTTTGAGGATAGTACAGGACTGGGCAGTGTTTTGTTCTGTTGTACATAGGGTCGTTATGAGTCAGAGATGACTTGATGGCATCTAACAACAACAGGGAAAAAGGATCATAGATTATATCATATAGTCGAGGGGAGAGAAACAAATCTTGCCCTTTTCCCAAAAGGGAAAATAGTTATTTCATATATTTATCAGTATATTTCTTACTGTCATTATCATCATAACTGATAGTATTTTTTAAATTTGCATTTTACTTTAAAAGAATAAAGTCCAAACTCATTATGTTGACTTTCAGTACCCTACATATCATATGGGGCTCTGGTGGTGCAGTGGTTAAAACCATTTGGCTGCTAACCAAAAGGTCTTTGTTTCATACCTACCAGCCAGTCTGCTTCTGTAAAGGTTTACCACCTTGGAAACCCTATGGGGCAGTTCTACACTGTTTGTAGGGTTGTGATGAGTTGGAATCGACTTGATGGCACTGGCTTTAGTTTTGATTTATATATCATACGGCTACTGCCTGTTTCTCTGACATGCCCTACTCTCTTGCATGCCCTGACCTTTCTGTTTCTGGTTTGCTTGCCCTGTATGTAGAATTTTCTACTTTTACCTTTTCCGTGGCTAGTTTCTTTTGGTCATTTTAGATTCTGCTCAGTTGCTACCTCCATAGAGAGCCCGTCTCTGATCACCCAGTTGTTGTTGTTGTTGTTATGTGCTGTCGAGTCGGACCCGACTCATAGCGACCCTTCCTTAGGTTTCCCAGGCAGTATCACTGTGGAAGTAGATTGCCCTGTCTTCCATCACCCAGTAGCTAACCATATATATTTTTTTCATATCCTTTATTCTCTGAAATTATCTTGTTCATTTGTTTGTTTGTATTTTTCCTGTACTGCCCTCTATTTTACCACGTTCCCTAGCCCCCAGCTTTCCCTACAATGTTAGTGACAGAATGCTTTATTCATCACGGTATCCTCATATCCTCAGCGCCAAGAAGAGTACCTGGAATGTATTAGCCATTATATATCTATAAAATGAATGAATTAATTAATCATTGAATCAGTGCTAGAAATTGCATGTGATTTTACAGGATGATGGTGATTAAGTGAAATTAGAGTTGAATACTAACTGTTTTTGAAATCTAGGTGAATTTCATTGTGAGTGACTCTGGAGCACATGTTTTAAATTCTTGGACTCAAGAAGACCAAAATTTGCAGGAGGTATGATTCACATTTGAGTTGTGACTGTTTTTGAAAATTATCTAACTGTGGTAAAAAAAAAAAAATTAAATGATTAGAAAAATTGTATCAATATAGTATTTCCACATAGTTTTAGAACACTAAAAGAAAAATAGCTATCTCCATTCCAGTCTTTCCTTCCATAAAAGTTAGAAGCAAACTTTTAATTCTTTACCCATTCTGGTATTCCATATTTCTTTTTTTTATTATTTTTTTTAAATTTTTATTAGTTTATTTTGATTTGGGTGAAGATTTACAGAGCAAATTCACTTTCCATACAGCAGTTCACATATACATTGTCACATGTCATTGACCACAATTTACCACAATGCAACAGCTCCCCTCCCACTTCCTCCCCTTAGTTACCTCTTCCCAGTGTCCATCCCTCCAT